TAATATTTTGCATCTTATGCAGATTTGGGCCCATGAAGCCATACCATCTATTAGACGGAGATATGGTGAGAATCTACAGGAGGCTAACTCCCCCAGAATATGTCGATGGGATTCTTCTAAAATGCCTAACTACAAGGATATTGGTGCAAGTATGGATGGACCAAATGTAAGTAAATTTTAAATGTATATCAAAATATGTAGTGTACTTTATAACAACTAAGTGTACCTCTCATTTTTCATATAGATTGTTGTTCATTGCACACTGAAGCCTACACCAGAAGAGGCTTTTAAAGCATATTGGATAGAGATTCATCGACTCGAGGATGAAGTAGAGGATCCAACAGTTGATATCTTTGTATTGATCTTCCTCAGCAAACTTGCCACTCTCCTAATGCCTCTACATCTCCTCGGGATCCATCTTCTTTTCATAGGCCACCTACTTCTACAGATGCTCATACATTTCATCCGGGACCATCTATATCATATCCATCTCTGTATCCATCTAGAGATGAGTTCGCTTAGGAATTGAGAATGCAATTACTACATATGGTAGAGATTTTAGAGAGGAAAAATGAAGGGCGGATAGATGAGATACGATCTTACATAAACCAAAGGTTTGATTGTGTTACATCCTTTTGTAGACAAATTGATGGGAAGATATCTTCTGTTGTGGAGTGGATGAAGAATTCTAACCCGTCAACAACACCTTACACATATCACTCTCCTCTTCGTAGTGGATTTATGAATACTGGAGAAGCATGTGATGTAAATGAGGATCCACTTGTACATGTAGAAGTTCAAAATGATGAGAATCAAGATGGCAATGAGGAGAGAGAAGTGGTAGTTTATGTGTTGGCAAATGAACCAGTTATTGTAAAAGAAGCAACGTTGCCCGCATATGGCAATGAACAAAAACAAGCAAATGATATGAATAACTGTCCAAATCCCATTGAAGTGGAAAATGAGCAAAGGCAAGCAACAGATTTGCCGAATGATGATGAAACTCGTGTGGAAGAGAGAGATACCTGTATACCAATGGATTCTATAGCACATGGTGATGTAATGGATTCCATCCCTACAGTGGTGGAAGATGAGTCTGATAAGTCAAGTCAGATTGGGCTCGGGATGAGAATCAAGAAAAGGTCACTTGTTCTTGAATCTCCGTTCACAAATCCGGAGAAGAGGAGGAAGCTTCACAATGTAAACGCATTTGACCCATTTCGAGAGCTAGATCCGACTAAGATAGATGACTTACAGAATTGGTTGGTTAATGCACCTGACAGGTAACTATTCTTACATTAATTATTTTTGTAAAGTTGTAATATAGGTTCTTATGTTATTTGTTTTATGCAGTGAACATGTGGACATGATGATGTTCACGAAGCCAAAAAGTTTCTTTCTTGAAATTCAGAAGCAATTTGGATGGCTCGATAGTGATGTAAGTACTTTAGCATTCTATATTTTTCTCATACTTCATTTCATTCTTAAACGGCTTTATACATCTACAGCACATTGACATAGCGTTGTTGTTGATGAGGGCACGAATACATACATATCCTATTGTGTTCCCACAAGATTGTACAATTTTGGATTGTGCTTTTACTAACATGTGCACCAAGTGGTTTGAAGATTTTGAGCTGCATAAGAAAGAAAAAAATCCAGTAGAAGACTTTAAATGGATGAAAAATATGACAAGATATATATATGGTAAAAATCTATAATGGAGTAAGCGATGGGATTCTTGTACATCGTTGTATATTCCCTGCAATGTGGAAATGAAGCACTGGATTGCACTTAAAGTGGACTTTGCCGAACGAACTATATATGTATATGACAGCATGAAGAGTTTGACTCGTTTTGAAAAATTGCAAAAAATCATGCGTCCAATTGTGAAGGTGATTCCTAGAATGATGAAGGAAAGTTTGTTATTCAGGGAAAATTACCCACACAAGCAGTTTCTATGGCGTCGACATACAGACGTTCCACAACAAAACAATGCGTAAATAATCTATCTTTAAAATTTTTTAAATTTTCACTTATTTTGAGAGTGCATATATTTATTATGACAAATATATATTTGTAGGGGAGATTGTGAGATATACGTTATCAAGTTCATAGAGCTTTTATCGGCGGGATTAGACGTGAAACTTATGTCAGATACTATGATTGACAGTTGGAGGAAGAAACTAGCCGCTGAAGTTTTTGCTATGTATTTAGATCCATAATTGTTTTTTTTGGGTATATTTTGCACGTTTATGTGGTTGGAAGATTGATAACTCTGATGCTATTTTTGTCTACATGGTAGTTTTGAAATGATGTAGTTGGAAAACATGTGCACGGATGCTGATTTTTGTCTAGTCAATTTTGGATGTTCATCAATCTTCCTATGAAATTTATGGATGTTGATTTTGTGTACTCAGATTTGGATGCTGATCAATTAGATTTGTCTAGTTTCTTTGGATGTTAATTTTTTGGATGTTGATCAATATTTTTTATAAATTATATTATTTTCATTATAGGATGTTTCATTCAAATATTGAAGTAGACATGGTTGAAAGGAAGATGTAGTTTGTCATAACTTTATCTATATGGTATTGAAAAATAGACTATTATATGAAAAACGACAGTTCTGCGTTTAAAACGACAGCATGCCGTTTGGGTCATAGGACTAAAGTGTTCTCCTAAAGTGCACCAAAATGTTCTATGGTTTGTGTGGCCTAAATGGCAGTCATATTTGTAACATGATCGCATGTACTGAATGAATACACGTGATTTTTTGTATACCGTATACCTTAAATAGCAACCATAAGAGTAAAACGTCTATATGTCATTTTGGGTCAAGGAGTCTCGAATTCACTCCAAAACTAGTGAATTAGTGTTGAAATATCTTAAAAACACTGTACTTCGAAAAATTGTAGTATAGGTTTAAACCCTATACCCTAAGCCCCATACCCTAAACCCTAAACTACAATCAGCTACTTCGTGCCTTTTCAACTCACAATCAGGATGTCTGAAGAGCCCTTTAGGCCATGGGAAAAGCTGGTTGAGAAGCAGAAGTATTTTCAGAGCATCTACAAACACACATATCTGAAAGGACCGTATGACAAGATTACTTCAGTCGCCATTCCTTTGGCTTTGGCTGCTACTTCTTTACATATATGATTGGAAGAGGGATCTATAACATGTCTCATGGGATTGGGAAGAAGGAATGAGGATATGTTTTCTGCACAGCGATTTCAAAATAATATGTTCTTGAAGTATGCTTTGTTTAGTTCGGACATGTTATGAGTAATGGATGTACGTTCTTTGTCCTCGATGACTTGGTTGCAATTCCCATCATTCGGTTTTCCTTGGAATACGATTGAAATTCAAGAAGTATCCGTTTAACTTTAAAAAAAAAAAAAACCCTAAACTACAATCATACGTTTCAAACGCCCAACTGCCGTTTTGGGTCCGAAGGTATCGGTTTCAATCCGAAAGTAGCACAACGTTGTTTGGGACATGATACACGTCTGGGACACGTTGAACGTCTATACGTGTTATGATTTGTATACCACACTTTCCCCTTAGGTTGTTCGTCATTATCAAGCGGGGTGTAGTGTAGTGTATTCGGTGGGACTATAGAGAAACTCACTATAGTTCGGACAAATGCATCGATCGTAAAGGCGAAATATAATTCGAACCTTCATCCTTCAATTTTCAAGTGCTTACGAGTTTCATTTCACCAAATGGACACGAAATGAGTAGAAATGTCGCCCATACATTTGAAACGCCCAGCTTCCGTTTGGGTCCGGAGGTACCGATTTCACTCCGAAAGTAGCGCAACGATGCTTGGGACATGATACACGTCCGAACACGTTGAACGTCTACACGTGCTATGATTTGCATGCCACACTTTCCCCTTAGGTTGTTCTTCATTGTCAAGCGGAGTGTAGTGAAGTGTAGTCGGTGGGACTATAGAGAAACTCGCTATAGTTCGGATAAATGCGTCGATCGTAAAGGCAAAATGTAATTCGAACCTTCGTCCTTCAATTTTCAAGTGCTTACGAGCGTCGTTGCACCAAATGGACACGAAATGAGTAGAAACTTCGCCCATAAGTTTGAAACGCCCAGCTACCGTTTTGGCTAAACAAACAGTGCTGCTATCATTTTTATCAGAATCTGACTTACAAATCTATTATAATTGATCAAAATATATCACAATGTAAAGATTAAATAAATGATTAACATCCATCTGTCCGTAACAACCGTGAATGAACAAAAATGAACACGAAATGAGTAGACATTGCACCCATACATTTAAAACAACCTGATGCCATTTTGGTCTGAACAAATTTTGATGCTGTCATATTTATCAAAAATCTGTCTGAAGTAGCTATCATACTTTGTTAGAAAACTATCACAATATATCAAAAATTATCATAATCTATTATAATTTCAAGATTATGTTAAACAAAAAATGTTCTATGCATCTGTCAACTAGTGTAGAGCATTTTTGCAAGTTAGACGATTATAGCCCTTTTGGCCACACCTACTACATTTACGAGTCTTTTTTCCCTCTCCTCTTGATGGAGTACGACGGTTTTTCAGACGTCCACTTTGTCGTCGATTCGAAATGGGTGGTAACACCTTTGGCTGATTGGAGATTTCCCAGTCAGCCTCATTTGCCACTGGATATATACATTCAGCATATACTTGTTTCAACTAGCACTGGTATAATAAGGTGAGCACAAACTGTAACAAGATATCCCCTTAAATTTCGCTGCTGCAAGTGCATATTTGCAAGGAAGTTTTTCCAAATCAAATTCCCTACAACTACAGGTTCTTGCCTCCAAGTTCACGATATGCATTTCATTCTCAACACCGACGTGCAACTCATACTCATTTATTGGTACCACTATCAGTCCCTTTGCATCATTATACTTTTTATGCATTTTATCCTCAATGGGCGGGGTTAGAGTAGTTGCACATTCTTCCGCCTCAATGTGTCTCTCATAAAATCATTTCTGTAAAGTTTTTCTTATTTGTTCAACCATAGCAAGTATTGGAAACTCCCGAGCATTCTTGAATAACGAGTTCAAAGATTCTGCATTGTTAGTTGTCATAATATTGTAACGAATTCCTTTGAAATGTGCTCGGGACCAAAATTCATACCCACCTTTCTTTTCTAGGTATTGTCCAACTACCAAACTTTTACGATATAGATTTGCCATTGATTTTTCAAAATTAATCAAACTATACTCCTTCGCAGTTGCCATAAACAATGGCAGAATATCGGCCTTATGATAATTTGACTTTATGTTTAGTTGTAGATGCCACATGCAACATCCATGATGTGCATAAGGATAAACAATCTTTATAGCGTTACCAATACTCTCCTTGCGATCAAAAATGAAAACAAGCCCTTCCAACATACCCGTTACATGAAACAACTTATCGAAGAACCAAGTCCATGATGTATCATTTTCAAAATCAACAATGCCAAATGCAAGAGGATATATCTGAAGATTTGCATCTTGACATGTGGCAACAAGTAATGTACCTCGAAATTTTGATTTCATAAATGTTCCGTCCATAGAAATGACATGTCTCATTGATGAGTGAAAACCACGTATGCCTGATCCTAAAGCCATAAAAAAGTATTTGAATCGATTCTCATTATCAACCTCAAAGAACGTCACTGTACCGGAATTATTCTTCTTCAGAATATTGCAATACTTGGCCAATCTATCATAACTAAGATCAGGTGAACCTCTTAATAGCTCTATAGCATATTCTCTAGTCATCCGTGCCTTATAATAATTTATATCTATGCCAAACTCCCGACGAATATCATTTTGCATGTTCGAAGGTCTGTATATAATGTTGGGATCCTCAAACTTCGACATGATGTGTTTTCCTATCATCCAACAACTAGCTTGTCTATGATCTTTGTTACGAACATCCAATGAACAATTATGATAACGTGAATACTTTCGAATTTCAAATTCGTCACTTTCCTTCAATCATATTGCCCGCAAATGCCATTTGCAAATTTCCTCAACACATACTACTACATATGTACTCTTATTTGACTTAGTGACCTTAAATTCGAAAGAGTTTCTTACAGCAAGCATTTGTAGTGATGCCTGAAGATCCTTCTTGTTGCGAAAAATTTGGCTAACGTGCACATCATCGACGTCAGGAATCTTAACTGATGTTCCACAAGGATTCGGACAGGCAACAACTTGGGAAATGTCAATGATCTCATCTACCAATGTAAAAGGTATATTATTAGTAACATTGTCTTCATTTATCACATGAGAATCATCTATGTAGTTGTCATGCACTAATTCTACCCCATCCCAATAATCATCACTTGTAAAGTTCACACAATCGTTTTCACAATTTTGATTACATGGAGACAACGGTCACATATAATTGTCATCGGACTGATCATTTTGCATATACAATTCATCCATCTCCACCGCATTGTTAGTTGCAACAACATTTGAAATGCATTCATGATTCTCTGAACATTTACAATATCAACATTCATGTCTTGTTGATAAACATAACCCTTTTCTACAAGGGTTACACAAATTGGAACTTTGTCATGCAAAGAAAGAAACCAACTAACATCCATATCGCAAGTAATTTTCATTGGCGGAACTGATAATTTTGCCATGTCGGGAACGAGAAATTTCATATCGATGTCATACATATTGGGATCAACCTTAACTGCTTTTCGGACTTCGTTATACAACTCTGCATATGAGATTGTTTTTGATACAAAAATATTTGTTGCGGTGTCTTCATCATTCCCTATCAATTTCCAACTCCATTCACCTTCATCACTCTTTTCAAATTTAACAAAATAACAAATAACAATCATTGCACCAGAGTCCATATCTGCAATTCAACAAAAAAATATATAATATATTACTCCATTAATTGTCAAAACTGAATACTATAAATCACAACTTCAATAACAAACAAAAGGCTACTTATATTGTTACATAACAGATTTCAGCAGAATAAAACGATATTTCGTAGTTTAAAATGTGTATGTGCCGTTTAAATTTATTTATGATAATAAAATGCTATAAAAGAATGGAGAAACAACTAATTTGCCAACAGGTATATCAATACCTCCATTGTCTTATTAAAACGGTAGTCAGCTGGGAAAAAAGGGCACCCAACTACTGAGAAACGGCACCATTCCGTTTCAATATTTTACAGCAAATTTTAATTACCCAATTGATTTTTCTCATAGTATACAACTAGAAAATAACAACAAATCTATAATTTTCAATTTATAAAGCTCACCTTCAACTGTGTGAAATCGATTCTTGCTAACCCACCTCCAAAATTTGCACTATTTCATTTGTTCTTGGTTCAAGAAAGGGAACTTCAACATGCAATCATTCATTGTAAGCAAGAATAATGCATATGAAGAAGAATACAGCTGAATTTGAAAGTGAGTTTAATACGGTGAAAATGAACTTGAAAACGAGAGAAATGAAGGGGATTTAGGGATTTATATTTGGGGATTTGGGTAATATTCATTTCCAAATTGGATATTTTAGTCATTTCAATTTAAAGGTATTTAAGACTTTTAATATATAATCAAATAGACTATGAACTACTTGAACAAAAAGTATTGATATAGGCTATTTTACCAAAGATTATGGTTGACTAGGCTTCTTAAACAAAATCCCCTTTTAAAAATATAATTAAAATTTAGGTCAAAATTGACAATTAATTGTAAATTTATGATTACATATTTTATGGGATTAATAACGTTTCCACCACAATTTCTAAAAGGGTGTTTGGTGGGAGATTAAAATTAAATTTTTTAGTAGATCGTGATAGAAATTTTTGAAATGTATGATTGAAAAATTGTAAAACTCATGAAAGATGTAGTTAATATTAATTGTTTGACTTTGATTTAGATTAAAATCAAATTTTAATCCAAACCAAACATTTATAGCATCTGCTCAAAATCTAAACTAAAAACAATATTTTAATCCTACTCACCATTTGAGGACCGGGTTCGTCCCCGTTAACGTTAAGTTAATCAACGATCGCCGAAGGGCAGTGGGCCAATTGCCTCGAAGAGTTGAAACGACAAACACCATACAGGCGCTAAAAATTGCGCTCAAAATCACGAAATGCAGACCAATACCGCCTCCTCCTCCCTTTCTTCTTCAGCTGCTACGGAGTCTCTCCTGCAAGCCCTAACCACCAGAGGCTGGTGCTTCGGAGACGTCAATCAAGTCAAAGCATTGATCACAGCTCAGTTATCGTTACATGGCGGTCGCTGCACCGTTGGCTTGATCGAATCGGAGCTGGTCAATATGGACCTGCGATCTATTGGTGGGAAATGCTTGCCCGAACCTGCTATTCTACGCAAAGTCTCTCATTTTCAAGGCCCTAAAGTCCTTCAGGTACTCGTACTTTGATAGTAATATCAATTTTTGAAGCAAAAGGGTACATTTAGTTCTAATGTTGTACGCTAGATGGAGAAGCCTGAGTAGTTTATATTAGATTCAAGGTGACAAATTATTACTGTAAAGCTGTAATTAAAAGAAAGTTTAAGAAATTTGCATTTATGCACAACAATACAAGTTATGAATACATTATAGATGCTATGTTTTATACCGTATAATAAGTCTTGAATTGTTACTTTTTTATGATACTCACAATCCTAAGCTACGGCATGGTTGAAATTTTGGAATTATTGGAATTTGGCTCAGAAATTATTATTTAGTCTTGCTATTGGCATTGAACAAATCCAATGACTTTTTAAAGATTTCTACAGCTAAGTTTGTTCAATCGGAAGTTCTAGTGTTCTACTTTTCTCATAATTGATTGTGATGTAAATCTGGTCCTTTTCAGTTCTTAGCTTTTTTGATAGAATCTTTAGGAGGGTCTATGTGCATATATCAAATATTACATAGCAAATAGGTTGGTTTGGATAGATGTTGAGGTGTGTTAAGAAGAATGTCGATAATTTACTGGCTCTTATATGCCGTGGGTGCTTAATGGGTTGTGTGGACTTGTCAAGCATTTTCCTTCCCTATAGATTGGCCTAGGGTTGGAGCTAGAAGCGAACCAACAAAATACTAGAATCTCCTATTATATGTGAAACCATGGGGAAAAAGTGGGTGAAACTATTCTTTGTTGACCTGTGGTTAATGAGAACCTACAACAATTGGTTCACTGATCAATTTCTCCTGCCTCAGATTATCAATCCCATTCCAATAAAGATATGGTCCATTCCCAAACATAAGTCATTCCTGTCAGATTCAACAGCAACCATGACCATGCTTAGCTGGCTCATGGATTCTTACCTCATTGCTGTGTGATTTTATTAGTTTTTCCTTAATAGGTCAAAAGTCTGCCCAGTCAAGCCCATCTAACTGCATACCACTTTATCATCTATAATTTCAGATTTGAATACAAGAAACGGGATACATACTAGAGGAGTTTTCTTGAGTCAAAGAATGCTGCCATCTATAAAGAATCTGCCTTTAGACGAATTAGTTATCTCTTATTTCCAACAAGATTTTTTTCTTGTGAATTTATTCAAGAATGAACTCAATGAGGCTAGTTGCTAATTATGAACAGATACAGTGGACTCTAGTAGCACTGTAGCCGTATGCCACGTAAGATGAAGATTGGAAGGTTATTGAACTTATATGTGAAGATTTCTGCATTTTATGATGGAAGAATAATTTAGGTGAATCTTTGTATGCTATTTTTTCTCATTCTTGAGAGTCAATGATTTAATTCATGGTTGTCGAGAAGATTATGTACATGTCAATTTTCTCTTATCTGTCGTTGTTGTATTGGTTATTATTGGAATAGGAAAATTGGTTATACATAAACACCTACAGCTTGAAATGAAATTTCACTGCCAAAATTTTTTGAAGAAAACCATTTTTTAGTAAATTGGATCTCACGTGTAAATGCTAAAACTAGTTTTAGGGAATAAGGCTTATTTTTTTGTTCTTGAGTTTCCCTAGCACTAAACTACTAAAGCTGATGGGGCATGTGATAAAAAATTAGGACAAGAAACATGCAAAATAATTATATTTTATTTAATTGTATTTTTCTTCATAGTTATTACTTATTACGCTATTAAGTTGGGAAATTTTCAGTTTAGTTGTTTGGATAATTTTCCATTTTTAATAGGGATTTTGAGAATAAATAGGAATAGTCTCTTGGGGGGTATTTTCACCATTGAATTGAATTTATTGATTTTATTAAACTCTCTCTCTCTCTCTCTCTCTCTCTCTCTCACACACACACACACAACTAGTTTAGAAGGCCAAATGTTTTTGTATTATTTGCTCATGATTTATGGATAATATTAAACAATGCAATTTTATTTGTGGTTTAATTGTTAAATGGTACTTCTTGAACACTTTGGTTTAAAATTATCACTATATCTTTTTTAATGTAGTACCTTGTCATCAAGGAAAATTCTAATGGTAAGCAAACAGCCACCCAACCGTGGCCCAAAAAAAAAAAAAAAAGTCTTTGTTTTTTTTTTCCTTGATAAGATTTTGCCATGCTTTCTAAATGAAGTACCATATTTAAATTCATCACGTTGGCTGAGCTCCTTCTATGTTGTGAACAGATATCTTCAGTTAGAGATATATCTCGAAGTACAGCTGAGAGTTCAGGAAATTCTGAAAATCATCGTCTATTAAGATTGAAACTCACTGATGGACATTCTGAAATAACTGCAGTAGAGTATTCTCATGTGCCATCAATTCCTGAAGATGTTATCCCCGGGACTGAGGTATTCCAATCTTTTATTTCTTTATAATTAAAGATAAAAGTCAGAATCAATTAATTTTTCTACTCTACCGGTTGTGGTTGGAAAAAAAAAGGAAAAAAGAAAAAGGTTTGCACTAATGAGGAAGGAACAAGTTTATTTATTTATTATTTTTTTTCTGGGGGAGTGTATTGACTTAACATTATATTTGCTGTACTAGTTCCTGATGTCTACATTTGTTCGTCATTCAGTTTTAATTGTTTCTCATAACTCGCTAAAGAATTTTTTGTTCTAATATTACTGCTTGTTTGTTTGGGTTGCCAGGTCCAACTGCAAAATAGAGCTGAGATTCATGATGGTATTATCTGCTTGCATGATAGGATAATTACTATTTTAGGAGGTATCGTGCAATCACTTCATGAAGAATGGCAGATGAAGAATAAATACTTGGTTAACTCACTCTCCACCTCAAGGCTATTGCATGAAAGTGCTGAAGGTCCACCACCATTTGAGAAGCTCCAAATTCAGGCGCCTCCACAACGAATTGCCGGTGTGTGTGTGTGTACTTCTTGATCTGAGGCCATAGAGAACTTTACATTTGTATCTACTGTATGTGGTGTATTTACATGATCAGTGCCAGCATTTGACAATTTTACAGCTAATTTGTGTTTCTAACAACACAGATTTGTGATTTGTGAATTGTGAAATTCCCTGGGTCTTAGTCTAGAATAAATTAATTAACCCAAACTTCCTAGTTCACCTTTGAAAGCAGAAATGGTTTCTGTATTTCTGTTACCCATTAGTAAAACTAGAGCCCTCAATTTATACAATGGGGAAAGGGGAAAAAAAGGAAAGGAATCTCCTAAATTAGGAGAAGAAAAAATAATCCTAAATTAGCAGCCTAATTACAGCAAGTCTAAGGCAATGTATAAATATGGTAACTACAATAATTGTACAATCTTCAAGATTTCTAGCAACCTTGAATTAGAAGGTAGCCGTTTTGACATTTTTAATGTGTTTGAGTACCATTTTTAAGGAAAAATGGGTTTTGTAATAGTGATTTTTTTTGGGAGAATGTGTGGTTAAAAAGTAGGAAAGATTTTTGGGTATATATGTAAAATTATTTTATTGGGAGAACTTGTGGTTGAAAATGAGTTTGAAAAAAAAAAAAGGAGTTTTGATAGAATGGGGCTCAAACAGGGGCTTCTCTCTCCATGTTTGGACAAATCTAGATCTTGATTATTCATGTGCAGGATGCCTGTTCTATGTGATGCCAGGCCCCTCTATGGGGACAAAATTGCTACATCTGTATAATATGAATGTTTGTTCAACCCTCGCATTTTCCCTGATTGCAGGCTTTTCTAGGTCATCTGTCAATGACTCTGGCCGCACCTTGTTTAGGAAAGGTGAAAGCTCCAAAATGAGTCAAACCGGTGGACTCCAGAACAGTGATCCAGCCTTGGATAGTGAAAATAATGATGCAGAACATCCTGATAATGTTAATAAAAGTAAGGAAAATCCGGCCAGCTCTGACACAAGATTAAAAGGTATGGCTTCATTTCAGCCAAGTCGCAAATAACTTAATACTATTTTTTCTGGTTATACAACTGATTCGTCTATATTTATATAAGAAACAAATTAACAAGGCTTTATTCACTGTGGAGATCTACTTTTCCCTGGTCATAGAAACTCTTGAAGGCCATGAAAACCAAAAGTAATTTGATGCAGTACTGAAGTACTAAGAATGAATTTAGACTGAGTTAGCTATAAAGAAAAAAGGGAAACGATTTTCTAAATATCATCCCCAAAGTTTAGGGACTCAGATTAATTAATGTACCAACCACATCACAACATTATAGAATCATCGTAATTCCAACCAAATTAGAATTCTGATGGATAGGTGTGATACCTGTATCATATGGATGATCCATTTCCAGAATCCAGGTCCTATACATCATTAGCCATGCCAAAACTAGTATGTGTCGGGTACTTGGAGAACATACCTCAAGTAGGAATAATCCTAATTGGTGGAAGCCCTTTTTTATGGTACAGAGAAAACATAAATACGTAATTCAAGAAACATATTGTAATTTTCTTCTTTGATATGGTGAAACCTTACAAAGGCAAGTGGACATGATTGTCACATTAATTGAAACACTCTAAATCGGGTGTTTTTAACATTCTTTTTATTTTTGTTTCTTGTTACATTAGTATGGGACCATAAGAGAAGATTCGTTGGTGGTTGCTTGGAATAACTTTATTAACTTGAGGACTAGAGGATCTAATTCATGAAAGCTTCATTTCTGCCGCATTAGCCCTCATCATTGTTATGAAGATAAGTGTGCCCTTCCCTCTATCAGCCTCTATGACAAACTGACTGCTTTTACTTGTAAAAGGATGAACCTAGCTCGTTGTACGAAATCGGTGCAGCTCCTATCTGGTTCACTAAAATAAGAGTGTGAGAGCTTGATTTTGGTGTAAAAAGGCTTGAATAGGCTGGGCAACAATTAGGAATGATTCAAGGAAGAAACTTCAGGTTTCTTGAGTTGATGAAGGTTGGTCGTTGCTGTGAACAGTACCGCTTGAAGCCAAGAACTTAGGATGAAGTTGCAGCACACACTCTGAAATCTGTCCACAACAGCTCTAGACAACCTATTAACTTGATATTCATTATGTTCTGACTAAAACTTAAACTATTATTGTGTACCCCCACGAACAAAACTCTACTTACAGGTCCCAATATGACAAAAAAGCATGAAAATTTAATTTCTTTCACTCACATTACAGCAACAATTTGCAACGAAGGGAGTTCATAAAATACCCTTGAAAATAATTGAAAAGATCTGATACCACTTGAAATTTAGATTTAGCAAATTTATTTTGACCTAACGTGCGAAATTATACAATTAAAAGCAACAAATCACTTTTTAATTATCAATCACGTCAGATTATCTATGGTTTGAATGTCATAATCAATAATATGAAAACAATAAAAGCACAAAATAATCAAGCCAGTAACATCCATTATAGACAATATGAACTTAGAGTATGATCCGATCTAGAAAACTATTCACCGATGTAATTCTTGCAATTTCCAAGACCCACTGGAACATGCTTTACTCATACCTGCTCCCAATCTTTTAGGATTGTCTATTTCCTGTGGATCACCAAGAACATCTTGTTCTTATACTCTTCTTGTGTTTCTGGTCCAACCTTTCTCAATTTTCAGCAATCTCTTAAAGTTATTGAAAACGTACATTCCTATATATATATATAGGAAGTGGATGTTTTGGATTACGTGAATTTGACGTTTTCCCAAAGTTGTGGTTGAATAATCTCAATAATCAAAGGAATAATTTCAATGTTTGAATTTGTTCTTGGATCTTGGAATGATGTTATGAAAAAGTAATATAATGAACAATCACACACAAAACATGTTGGGGCTTGGGCATTTATAGTAGGAGATAATTAGGTAGTGTGGATCAGATAAAACTCTCGACAAACGCAAACTAGAGTTTCACACGTAACACTGTTGCTCGAGCACAAGCCAGTGATAAGCGAGCAACTGCTGAGCAGTTTGCTGAATTTTTATCATATTTTTCTTTCTCGATGTTTGATTGAGTTGGAAAGTTAAAGGGCTACAATTTTGTTAGAAACAGCTTTGTCCAAATTCCAATGTTTTCTATGTGAAAAAATTATTGCAAGTTACGACTAAAAATTTGGAAGATAACTTGTGCAGCTTTTTGATATTCTTTAGACTTCTAATTGCATTCCCGTGATCACGTGATCTTCTTGGATATCTTGGACTCCTTCAAGGATTATGCTATCAATCCTAACTCTTCTCCTTCAAGGATTATGCTATCAATCCTAACTCTTTTGACTTTAATTAGGACTCAATAACTCATATTTTGACTTTGATCATAACTCGATAAACTCCTAATACAATTTAACTAAGACTTGATTTTGTCTACAGCATTGCCAATACAACATAAATCCTAACAATAATAAACTGATTAAAAATTTAATTTTATTACTCAACAAATGTAGAGTTTAGTTATATAAACTCTTAATTCAGGTGAGTATCCTACCAAGTCGTGCCAATTAAATCTTGAGTGCTGGAATATTCCTTTGTCACTCCATTTACAACTCAAAAGCTTGCTGCCATTTTTCCCCTTTTTAATTTAGTTGCTTTACTTGGATGCTCAAACTAACTTTTAATTGCACATTTGTTATGGTTATTTTCACTTTTTCTGAATGGACATGTGTTTGAAGTACTGCTTTTATCTTTTTCTTCTACAGTTGCTGCATCCATACCTGTTCAAAATCAAGCTGCTGCCCAAAAACTTCTCCAGAAAAAGAGCCTGCCTGATTTTGGGGATCTCCATTCCAGAGGTCAAAGGAATAGAAGGAAGGGAAAAGAGGAAGATTTACCTATGTTCACGCTGGATGAGTGGGAAAGGAGAAAAGCTGGAGTCAATCTTCCAAGAACAGATGAGCTTTCTGATATAAACCAAGATGAGGATCTTGCTCGACAGCTTCAGAGGCAATTTGATTTGGAAGATATTCATGTAAGCATTTTCTGCTAATGATTTGTTATTTTTGATTAATCAGATATAGGACAATATTTGCACAAAATAATATCACCCTTAGTATAGTCACTGTTATGATTAAAAGCATACTCGAGAGGTTGTAGGTCATTTTCATTGGGTAATGTTCTGGTTATAGTACATTCTTTTACCTTTAATATTCGAGTTTATTTCGTCCAGCATCTAGTATTTCACGATTTTGTCGAACGAAAAATGTACAGATTTTATCTACATCTAAATAAAATCGTGTAACACCATCCAGCATGAGCTGGATTACTTTCTGGACGTGCCATAGTTGTGGTCATGGAAAGAGAACTGGGAATTGATTAGATGAAATGTTTTTGCAGTCATCAGGAGAGTGTTTGGCTATTTGATTTGATATTTATTTCCATTTTTATAGGAACAGAAGGATCCTCTTATGCTGGATGCAGATGGTATAAAGAAGAGCATGTTCAATTTCGAAAGAGATGATAGTGGGGCCTTCAGTGGAACTAGAAGTAGAGGTAGAGGAAGAGGAAGGGGAAGAGGACGGGGAAGGAGAGGAGGGAGGGGGAGAAATTAACCATGGTAGACTTCTCTTTTATCCTCCTTTTCTTTGTGTCGATATGCCCATTAATTCCAACCCTTGTGCTGCCAATCCTAGAAACAATTTTTTATGCATCTTGTACCTGCCTGTGGTAATTTTGAACTGCTATTTTAGATTTTTGGATGGTACAGAAATTTTGTTTGAGATCGACAGATCAATGCATCAACATGTTATGTTGTGAAATCGACGTGGCTCAGTATATAACAAGTAATGTTGCACAATTTTACCGTTAAAAATCGGGGAAGATGAAGTGCATAGTTTATTTTAAACTATGCTCAGCTCTTCTAATAGGATATATTTAGGGTCAGGCGGGTCAGGACCCTTGAAGGAATGGATCCAACGACAAGTGGTTTGGGCCTCCATAGTATCTAGACACAGAAGATGAGAAGTCAAATTTTCTCCAAGCACCAAAAGAAATTGGAGGTGTCCTTTATTTTAGAGAAGATGGATCCTTCACATTTCACATTTCATGTTGTAACATTTTGTACTAAAATGGTGCAATGGTTGGAGGAAGGTTTGCACCAAATTTTGGTGCAATAGGGCATCCATTGGAAATGTCCTAAGTTTTAGACAATTGAAATTTGTCTGATTGATTTAATATTCAACTTAGAAAAAATTATATTTTTCCAAAAAGTTAAGTTATTGAGAAGTTTAAATTGTCTAGAAAATAAAAACTTATCTCCCATAGAGAAAATATTTTCTTGTTTTTGAGAAAAATATAATTACTTGACTAATTTTTGAAAAATATTTTTCATGAGAAAAAATATTAATCAAACATTAAAAAAAAAAAATGATAAGCTAATCAAGCACATTCTTACTGTACGAATGTCCAAAATTATATCCGTAACAGATGGCATACAACCATAGGTCTGAGAATTTGTACTTGTGGCCACTGGGGAATAGATAATGGAGAAGATTGGACCACCAGAATTTCTGACGAGACTACGGAAACAACAGTTAAAGGAATGTGTCCAGCATAAACCACATGGCCTTAACAGGAGCATATGTTATAATTTTCATGGTTAGGTGTATTCAAATTGAACTTTTAAAGATATTTTAGAAATTTAAAAGTCTTGGATGTATTTAAGTCCCGTTTGGTAGGGATTTTTTGCCCCAAAAAATTGATTTTTTGACCGTTATTTTACTATTCAAGCCGTAATTTTTGACTTCTTCTCTCACATTTGGACCCCACTTTTCTTCTAACGGTCAAAAAATCAATTCTCAAAATCCCTACCAAACGGGTCCTTAATATGGACTTTTATGACCATAAAAGTATAAACTTATAATCTTTTTAAAAGTCCTTAAAAGTTTCGAGGTATTGAACCATGAATTTATAAAAATCTTTAAAAAGTATGAGGCATTCAAAACGTCAATAATTTATAGAAGCGGCCTTATTTTTCAAGCATGAAGTACAAAAACAAATTTTCATGATTTGTCATCATTCACTCACATGATTTGAGTTTTATTATTTGTACGCCATAATTGACATCCCGATGTACAGTTCCCTTACGATAAGGGGCCCCACGACCAATAAAAAAATTACGGGACCCCTATTGTGAGGGAGTTTTCAAAATCCAACTATCCAATTGACTTATATTTTAATTGAAAGTTTCCAAAATTCAAAATAATTCTATAAAAGCTTATAAAAGCCTATGTATGAAAGTGTACCGAATACTTCAATTAATTTCAGATAAATCTTTAAAAGTTAATAGTAGTCACGAATTAAACAAAAGTCCATCACTCGAAAAAAGTCTAAATTTTTTTACAATTCTAGACTGAATACAAATATAGTATATTACCTTTGTTTTGTTTTGTTTTTCTTTTCTTTTCGATTATGTTTCAAATTAAAGATATAATAACTATTTATTTAACATAGAATTTGAGTTTTAATTATCAAATAGTTGGCTTTGGTTCATCGAGGATCTAAACGCTACAAATATGAAAATTAGAGACCCAAATTTTCCATTTACAAAAATTGGAGATCTAAATGCATTATTCAGCCCAGCTGCAATTTGCCCTTTTGAATATAAAATAGCCTCATTAATAGCTTTTCTTCGAATGTTTGGAATTGATCTGAGACTCAGACATTTGGAATATTCAATTCTCAATGCATAGTTGTAAATAAATCTTTGATGTTCAAAAATGTCACAAATTAAAATATTAATATCATTGAATACTTTGAAAGTATTAACTTTACTGTTGTGTTCAAATTCCTAATCTTCATAATAAGTCTATCCAAGTGGCATTATTTATTTGTTTGTATCGAAAAGTTTGTATAATAAGTGAAAAAATTGACTGCCGTCCCTGGATTACGCTGTGCTTGAAAACTTCAATTCAGCAAAAATCCCCTCACTATCAAGAATCAAGAATCAATAATGACGCTGACTAATCTTTACCACTCACTCAATAGTTCTTTTTTTTTTTTTGTATTAAAATAATTTTAATTCATTAATTACCCGGTACACTGGATTCAAAATATATAAATGGTTTAATTTATGAATATATGGATATAAGTGATGGGTAAATGAATATATTTGTAAGATCATTGAAATTTGTGATTGAAAAGAAAATTGGATCGTTTTTAAAAATATATAATTTTTATCAAGTGGAAATTACAGATTCTAATATTTTAAAAATCTTCATTTCATAAATAAGATACGCTGTTTAATATTTCACAAATCAGAATTGTTTTAATTAATTTATATATTTAAAAATTATTTAAGCAATTTCAAACCCTAATTATTCCAATCTCAATACCATCTCTCTCTCTCTCAATTCCCTCGACTCTCTCTCCCTCTCTACCAATAATTTCTCCCCAATCTCGCCGGAAGACAAGAAGGTGCAACTGGAGGACCTCCACGAGCGGCACTGCAATGCCCCCGTGACGACTTCACTGTAGCCTCAATCATTCATAGCTGCCTCAAACGGCAACGCTAAGGATGCTGTGAACTCGCCATCGCTGGGAGGCTATTGCAAACTCGCCGTCGCTGGGAGCCACTATCGAAAATTGCCGCCAATTAGATCATTGCACGATATGATGTTTTGTTGTCGCACAATGTGGTGGGTCTGCTGCGTGTTCCTCCTTGAGAGACAATGCGACGATGGTGCTGTGTTGTAGTTGTACAGTGCCGTGGGCTGTGGGAGCTGTGGTTGTGCGCGGTTGCTATGTTGACTGTTGTGTAAGGTGTAGTGGTTGGGTCTGCTATTTTGAAAGGGTGCGATGGTATATGGCGGCGTGATGGTGGCTTCGGGCAGTTTGCGATGCTACTGTTGGTGTCTTTGGTGGCGACGGTCGTGGTGGTTTCTGGCGGCGACGATTTTGTATTGTTTTGCATTGGTTTGTGATGGTGGTCGTGGTGGTGGATTGCGGTGGTTGTGGTGGTCATGATAGTTTGGTTGATTTTGTGACAAATAATTGGACCCGCGATCTGAAAAATTGTGATTGTGACTCCCAATCGTAACTCATAATTTGGGAGTCACAGTTGATCGTAGCAATTGTGGTGATTATGGTGATGGTCGTGGCGGTTTGACTGATTTGTGACTCACAATTGGATATGTGACCTGAAAATTGTGATTGTGAATTATAAGTGTTGGTGGTGATCACAAATTATTTGGTTGACTGTGACCATTAAATTGGTTGATCTGTCGATTTGTGACCAATGAACAAACTGTGAACTATAAAATTTTTGAACTGTGATCGTAAAATAAATTGTGATATAAAATTTCTTATTTGTGACTAAAAAATAATAAGTGATGAATTAAATCGTTAATTTGTGACCAAATTATATAAATCTGTGACTTAAATATATTTAATTACTAAAATAAATAAATAATTAATTAAATTGTAAATAATTTTTAGTAAATATCCGATTTTTGAAATTTGAAACTCGTTTTCTTGTTTTTGAAATGTGTCATAATTAATCTCTTACTTATGAAATTATCCTTTTTATCAAACAAAAGCTTAATTTTCTTTATTAAATTGTGCGCTCTTATATTTTAATTGAAAATAATATCCATTATCCAGACGTTATTGTGTTCAAAGTTTTTACTTTGTAGTTTCTTTTTTGTAATCTTATAACTTATTTGGATAAATTTCAATGTTTGAGTCTTAATCGGATTGGATTACTCATTGAATCTTAATGAGCTCTGATATTATATTAAGATTTGATGTTTAATCTTAAAATGTCAACCTTCTCGAGAGGATTGACCTAAATCTTCATAAGTTGATCTATACTTTCATCTTTATTCAATATAAGATTTATCCCTTAATAGTTACGCTCCTCCAGTTGGTCTATACTTTTATCTTTATTTTGAAAGAATATATTTTAAAATAGTAGATTGATGGAGAATGTATAGTTAAAAAATGAGAAAAAGTTTTAAATTTGCACGCAATATTATTTTATTGAAAATTGTCTGGTTGAAATGACGTCAAATCATTGTTTATGAATGTATTTTTTTTAAAAAGATTAGGTTCAAACAGGGTATATATGTCCCCATCACAGTATATTTTATCTGTGGCTCTTCCATCGTTTGGACTCCCTTTCTTCTCCTATTCTATACTTTCCTAGCGCAAGTCTACTATGCTTCTTACGTACGATGTTTTTCGCTAGAGATCTTTGCCAATAGCGCCATCCTCCTCATTATTTGTATGGATGGAGCATCTCTCATTGCCGCTTTTTGTGTACGCTATGAATTACATGAATAAATGTAGTTTAATAGGACAATAGGAGGGCTACATGTTCTACCGTGCCGAGGTACGAGGTATAGGTGTTGATGAACATCCTTGGGTATGTGCTAGAGCCTTTAAAAGGCACTCCAAAACTCGACAAAACCCAATCGATCTCTCCATTTGAGGAAAAGGAAGAACCACACAATAGGAGTGCTTATGGGGAGCCTACTTTAATTTGATACTAGTTAATGTTGAACGTGCATTGTATTACGTTCTTCTATAATGTTTTATAAGTACAGTAAAAATAATATTTGACCCTCCATTCACCATTTTGATCTAAATATGAGAGACATGCAAGCATCTGAAAATAAAAAAAGCTAATTATTATACATGCAAGTAAATAATAAAATGCAAATAAATGTGAATATTAGAATTAAGACTAAATGCATAAATGAAGATGAATGACAAATACTGTACATGAATTAACGTGAATGATAGTTAATTTAGATAATACC